CAAGTGCGAGACATCGCAAGTGTGAGCCAGCGAGCCATGACGTCATGACAATAGATACGAGACGTTACTCGAGTTGTGCGAGGTATCGGCTGAGATTTGTGGAGTACAATTCAAAAAACAACTATAGGCCTAATAACAAATTATTGTGATGTTAAATAGACAATAGGCATTTTTCGTTTTGATTACGCGGCCAGTTTACTACGAACTAATAGAGCGTAACAGACATCTGCGCATGCTCACAAACCTTACTGGCTAAATCGGTGTTGTGACAGCTTCCGCAACAACCCCAATTTCTGAATTTGGCGTAGTGGCGACTACCCTAACATTGACCAATCAGATCACCGGATTGTTTAGCAAACTGCTGGTAACTTTTTTGTTGGGGGTTGCAATTTTCATCGCATCCGCGATTGAGCATTTTTTCGTTTAATAATGAATTAATTATTAAAACAAGTGAGTAATTAAATGTTTAATATAAAGGCCTATTTATACACATGCAATAAATGAGGAATGAATAGTCACAGCATAAATTTAGGTAAATCAGGGGATAGTGAAAAAAGAGCCTTGGGCTTAGGCCTAGGCTAGCCTAGCCTTGTCAGGGTGGATTTCGGGTAGGAGAAAACACATTATCTGGTGCCGCTAGCTAGGGCATCCGCCCCTGATATCGTGGATCAAGCCTTGCTATATAAATTAAAATACCTCTGTTTAAAATTGTTATTTATTTGTACATCATCGTTGCATTTGGCAAATTGCCTGAGCAGGCCTGACACCCCTCTTCTCCCGGTAACGCCTCTTTTGACACCTAGGCTAGGATGGCCTAGCCTAGCCTAGGTAGGCCTAGATCCTAGCCAACAGCGAAACATCACTCAGTGTTTACTGGAAACTTTTTATTTTGTATACAGTATGTGGCTAAATTTTTTTTTTCACATTTCCTTTTTCAAATATAAAACAAGGGAACATTGTTCTCTGGTAATAAAACCATGGTCGAGTAACTCCCCTCCGTAGGCCTACGTGTGTGCTGCGTCGTCGTAGTCACCTTAAAAAAACGAAAACAGCTCTTGGTCAACTACGTGAACAGTGTCTTGCCGTCACACTCCATTAGTTCGTAGTAGACTGGCCACGTAGTCAAAACGAAAAATGCCTACTGTTACCTATCAAGGAGCGACGTTTTTCATTGGGACCTTCGTCCCTTCAAGGCTAGGCCTATACCATCCTAGCTAGTCTAGGCCTAGAGTAGGATTAGGCTAGCGCGACATGCGGACATTGGTACATGTTGGTTAGTCTACAAACGTCGCCTAAAGTAATTGATTTTACCCGGCAGAACGAAAGAAGGAAACTCCGCTTTTCAGTTGTCTTAGGCCCTTGTTTTTTGACAAACAATCACCTTTCAGAGGTCAAATTGCTGTCAAGAATATGAATTGGCTGCTTCGCAGCAATTAATAATAATAATAATTTATTATTATTATTTTCATTATGTATACAAGAAATTTTAGCTCTAGTTTGGGAAAATGTTTGGAATAACTACAGTATATATTAACCTCAGATTTTGGGTAGGTTAAGGCCTGGGTGCAACAGTGCAACACAGCCTTTTTAATTGGCCTATAATAAATATATTAGGATTAAGATCCATTCATTCAATTATTAATAATAATAACATGCATGTTTTTATATAGCACTCTAGACGTAAGTCTCAGAGCACTTTTTCACATTAGTACCCCCGTCATTGCAACTATGCCCATGGGGAAAAATCCATACTGAAATACATCAGCGCATTTTGCACTCGAACCTCCTCAGGTACCCATCTATACTCCTGGGTTGGGAGGAGCAACTTAGATAAAGTGCCTTTGCTCAAGAACACAAGCAAAATGCACAGCGAGGGATTGAAACCCCGACTCTGAGGTTGGGAAACCAAACTGTTCCCGCTGCATCAGACCACTTCCACTTATTTTTGTGCAATTTAGTCTGTAGATGCCGTATTGCCATAGAGATGAGCGTCATTATTAGATCATGTGTGATTCATTGTGTTGCCATGGAGCTGAGCGTTATCATATTTAGACGCGCATGTTTTTATTATGTTCTTTAGACCATACGTATCGTTACACGGGCAGTTTCGTTTATATTGTCTTTAAGTCCGGTCGATATATATTTTTTTTTCTTGGATTGATTACCGAGTTGTCATTGAATATAGTTGTTTCTTTTCGTTGTTTTATTAACAAATTTATTAATTTCAATCGGAGACACAACATAGTCTTTTACCTGGACAAACCTTATCTGATTGTGTGTGTAATGCATTCTCAATACTCACATATCCATGACTTTTGATCCATTCTTCTATATTCTCAGCCGGGTGGCTTTTCTTATTCATATTGTCAGTGGTTCCCTTTTCTACAGCTGATATTATTCACGTGTCCTACTGCTGTATAGTGGAAATAAAAATATATTAATATAACTTAAAGCTCAAATAATTTCATCCACTTCCTATGATGTGAGTGAAAAACGGCCTATACCGTTACTTTATTCTCGCATATAAGAATATAAGAGGTTTAAACTAGCAAATTACAATAAAAAAATAGGGGTCGTCTTATCGCAACATAAAATATTTTTGAATTTTTAAAATTATGTTTGTCTTATGTGCAGGTTGTCCACAACACACACATTTACCATTAAAATGAAGCTACTAACTGTTAGTATGAATAACTGCAACATTATTAAATGTGGGGAAATAAGGTTTTGGTGAACATTTAAAAGCCCATAAAATGGTATTTAGACGATCAACCCTACATTTTGCTCTGATTTTAGCCAGCTAGATGCAGTATCAAGACCATAAAAAGCAGATAAAATACCGGTTCTTGAAGGGAGGAATTCTGAAATTAGAAAGGTTTTTGTTTTTTCCACCCGACTTTAAAAAATTGCCAAAAAATCTTCTGAAATTCAGGTGTCGTCTTATATGCGGATGGCCTTATAGCCTATATGATCGAGAATATACGGTACCTGGCCTAGGGCCTGGGCTAGCTATATTTTATATTTTTATTAGGAAAGCCACGAAATACGCCTTTTTCACGAATCGGTAGACATGTTGAAGTGATGACAAACATTGCAAATCAGCGGTGCGTAACCAACAGAAATAAGATAAGCTTTTGGGCTGATTTTCTGACATCATGTTATTTAAAAAATCATAACTCCATAACGGGACGTCGTATCCAAAAAGTGTTTCCAGGAAAATGTTCTTAAAAGACCAGTCTACACCACTATATGATTTGAAAAAAATTGAAAAATTTTGTTGACCTCTGAAATCAAGATTGAAAGAGAAAAGCCTATCTTAGTAGTGTATTAAAATAGGCCAATGCATTACAGTGCAGTAGCATAGGACTTTCGAGTTGTTACTGTTCCAAGTAGCAATAATATACATATTTCTCTTATTACAAAGTACAAGTTATGTTTTATAAAGAGGTATAGTATAGTAAATCATGTTTTTAACACAGGAAACTCTGATATGGTAACTAAAACAATGCTAGTTCAGAGTATTACTAGTACTACAGCACTGTAATGCATATACCTATTTTAATACACTACTGAGATAGGCTTTTATTTTTCAATCTTGATTTCAGAGGTCAACAAAATTTTTCAATTTTTTTTCAATCATATAGTGGTGTAGACTAGTCTTTTAAGAACATTTTGCTGGAAATTTTTTTTGGATACGACGTCCCGTTATAGAGTTATGATTTTTTAAATACCATGATGTCAAAATATCCGCCCAAAAGCTTATCTTATTTCTGTTACGCACCGCTGATTCGCAATGTTTGTCATCACTTCAAGATGTCTACCGATTCGTGAAAAAGGCGTATTATATGGTGGATGTGGCACAGGGAAAAAACACAATGTAAAAATAGATAAAAATTGTTTGTAAAATTTACAGAATGTATGGGACTAAAAAAAAAATTCTGGACTCTCATGCCTTAGCTAGAGCGGTCCTGGCTGCGCCCTGACCCTGCCCGCTTACTTATGCTTTCATCAGGGAAATCGGCCACAATTAATTGTACGCCAAGGCATATCCTACATTTTAGGGCTACAATACAAGCCTGGGCCAGAATAGGGTCTCGTATCGTAGGCCTAGCCTAGCATTTTGATGTGCCTGCATTATGCTTAGTTAGCTAAATTTAAAAATAATTTTTTATCTTCTAAATAAGAATACCAAACACTTTGTATTTCTACTACTCTTACGCTTTACCCGATCACAGTTTTTGTCCAAATTAATGAAGCGTCCCGTTGTCATGTACAATGATGATCACATGATTTGAGGAATTGATGATGAGGGCAGTAGACAGTAATAACGATTCAGCTAGTTGTGTGTATCGGGGAAAACATCGTTCGTTATTCTTCTCTACTGCCCTCAACATTAGGCCCACCTCAATTGTGATTTAAAAAAATGATATTTAGGCCTACGGAAGAAAACGCCAAAAATATTAACCAACGGCGTTGACTTGCGCGTTTTAATATATTGCAGGAAGTATAAATTCTTCCTCGCCAGGTTTATACCTTTTTACAAAATATATGGATTCTCGCCTGTTGGTACCATAGGCCTGGCCTACCTATCCTCTTTCATTTCATTATCCATGACACTCTTTCGGTGGTCATATTTTTTTTAAATAAATGCGTTTATTCCTATTTGTGTGTATTTTGTAGGCCTAAGTCTATTTTTTTTTTTTAATGAAACCAAATACTGACAGAATAAACACACAAACAGTAGTAGGCCACTTTAACATTCATCTGTTAGCAACGCTATGATAAGTTTTTAGTTATGAACAAACTGTTGGCAAGATTTAAATTAAATCAAGGAGGACCGATGAAGACGAGCACTTCAACTACCAAGCCAAAACACCATTTAAGAAAAAAGATTTCATAGGCCGAAGACCTGAAATATTGCATTATTTAAAATTTAGAGAGGATTAAATAAAATTAATTGGTCAGTTCTTCTTGCATAACCGATATAATGAATGAAAACATTTGCCGTATGTTTTATGAAGTTAGGTACTATTCACTCTTCAAAGGTGGATTACGACAAGTCAGCTACATTTAAAAATCCAAAAGTTCTTAGTTTAAACTTCACACTAATAAGCAAGTTAACTTTTGACCAATAATCTGAAAGTCGATGTGCTATCCCGCCCTCTATTGAAAGTTACTTGGCCGGCACATTCTACGTTTCGTTGAATAAAATACAAATGAAGCAATGATTATTGTTAATTAATTAACAAAATCAATCGGAATGAATACACATTACATTATTTACTCTGCACAGTAATTGAAATATTTAATTACCCACGAGCAGACCAGGTCCTCTCAATAAAAACATGACAAAGGCTTGTTTTATAACAAAGTTTTTTTTAATTGAATTTATTGAGAAGATAATGATGACATTTATGACACTACTGATACTGCTACTACTACTGCTACTGCTACTGCTACTGCTACTGCTACTGCTACTGCTACTACTACTACTACTACTACTACTACTACTACTACTACTACTACTACTACTACTACTACTACTACTACTACTACTACTACTACTACCACTAAAACTACGGTACCACTACCACTACCACTACTACTAATAATAATACAGTAATAGCAATAGGGCCGAATTCTTTTTTAGGGAGTCGGGCTATCCCCCGTGGCCTGGATCCGCCCCTGATAGGTATAATATACGAGTACTGGTATGTCTATCTATATTACTTTTGCGCGCATATCAGTACACACTCACCGAGAAAATTACAGTATGCCAGAGACCTTCTTCAACAGTGGCAGGCTGTGATTTTCCAGTGTTTATTTTACTCGAGATATATCATGTCTGGCCTCAAACTATTTATAACTGAACATCGCGTTTATTTGAATTTATACATAAATGATGACACGATTATCGCATGGGCCTATTAGCCAAAGAATATTTAAAATAAAGTTAGCAATAAGGCCTATGCGCAAGGATATGAGTGAATACAGTATCTTTTTTAATAATAATAATAATAATAATAATAATAATAATAATAATAATAATAATAATAATAATAATAGGCCTGTATAGGTGTAATTTTGCCCAACCTGACGTGGAAATGTACCGAATACTTAGTACATTTGAAAACAACTGCGAAAAAAAATCGCAAGTTGTTCTCGGGTGGGACTCGAACCCCACGATCTCCAGATCACTAGCCTGGCATCAGACCTCTAGACCACCGAGATTGCGCCTGATGGCCAGGGTTGAATTCGAGTCCAAGTAAGCAGCGGGTACTGCAGTGTTGATAGTAATTGTTATTGTCGTGATGGAATAATAGACAATAACTGGATTTGCGTCAGG